ATTAATTTGTTATGAACAAAAAAAAAAAAATATTTATAATTTTTTTTAACCCAAAACATTGTATGTGTAATATATAAACACAAGAACAGTTAATGAAAAATGTGCTTGAAAATGAAATGAAAAGAAACGGTGCAAAATTATATGAAGAAAATGTTGAAAATAACCCAAACCGTCGTTGCAAAATGTAAACAAAACTTTAACCAATTTKTATCATTTTAACAATAAATTAGACACAAATTATTTAGCAAAACACAGTATGAATATTTGAAAACACTTATATGTAAATAAATTTCAAAATTYACATTTTTTAGAAAAATGAAATGCATTTGTTTAATGCTCACATGAGTAATCACATGACACTCATTCGATGAGTAACGATGAGCGGTGCCGAATGATGATTTATAAACAGTTTCAATTGTAGGCGGTTCAATGAGTGAGGGGCGGGCAAAACATGTAACGCGATTAAATGCAAACTAAAAGCAGTGCGAACACATTTTTTATAATAATGATTCGTGTTGGCAACACTGCTTTCAGTTGAAAATATTTTGTATAAATAAAAATATGCTGCCATTTCTTATAAAGTACTCTTCAGTATAAATAAATATAAATCTTATTAAACATATATGTATGCATAAATTATATTTTAATGCTTGTACGTATGTAAAACTTATTAACTAAAACGCTTAAAACTCCATGAACGTCGCATTTGGGGCTTATGAAAAATGAGCAAACGAAAATTATCACGCGTTATGAGCATTTTTGAGGTTTGATGAGTGATATGGTGACTTGGAGTGCGCAACTGAGAATTTTGAAAATTTTATTAAACTAATTTATGATGAAKTATTAGACTTTTTATTGCATTAAAGCATACACAACAACATTTTTTATAAAAAAATTTCGCTAAAAATGCGTGGGTGAGTAACTAATTCGAAAACGAAACCAAAATTTTTGCGTGAGAAATTTTAAAATAACAACAACTTGAACAATTATAAGTTTTTGAATAATTCCAATTGTTTTTTCACTCACCCTCATTGGAGTCTTCAGCTAATATATTTGCGTTATTTTTTTTTCAATTAAATTATTAAAGATACAAAAATAGCGTAAATTAGCGTAAGTTTGTGTTAAAAACAAAGAAAAAATATTTGGAAATGCGTTTAGTAGTTCCACATTGCAAAATGCCCTTATACTGTACACAAAATAATTATAGCAATTTATTTCAATTCATATAAACCTTCAAAATATCTGGCATAACCTCGAAATCTTAACTTTTTACTGCTAGTTATTGCCTAGCACTTTCAATTATCTTTAAAACTCACCACCATAATTGCCGCGTGGTCCATGATCGCGATCACATTCAGCTTCTGAGATTTCATTACTCTCCTTGGAGTCGTTGAACGACGAGTTGCTCATGTCGTGGTTGCGTGGTGGTGGTGGTGGTGGTTCTGGCGAGCCATTACCTGGATTACGTGCAGAACCTAATTAGTAGCAGTCACATTAAAATCTTCTAAAAATTTCCCCCTAATTTAAGAYCACCCAGACCTCGGCACACACTTACCAACACTACGACGTCCCATGGAGCCACGTGAGCCATAATGATCATATGGTGTGCCATATGGACCGCCATATTGTGATCCATATTGATCCTCTTCGGGTGCGCAATTGGCGGGATCATCATATTCGGGTCCGGGACCAGAGTACAGACTGCCACCTTGCGAGTTGACGCGTGTGTAGCGACGCTGTAAATTCAATACAAATTTTTTTTCATTATAAATTGTTGTTATTTATGCATATGCGTGCACTCACATATTGATCTTCCTCAGCGCAATTGGCTGGGTCATCATACTCAGGTGCTGGTGTATAAATGGACGATTGTCCGCCTTGGCTATTCTTGCGTGCGTAACGATTGGCGCGTGGCATTGACTGTGAACCGGAACGTGAGTGTACATGTCCAGGGTGTCCGGGTGGTCCCATGGTGCCTGCGTGTCCRGGTCCAGGTGCGTGTCCATTTTGGTGTGGGAAGGTTTGGAAATTCATAGCCTTGGTKGGATCCATTTCTTCACGGAAGCCAAGCARGTGGAAGGTCGCATAGGGGCAGATCTCATCTTCCATGCCTTTTTTGATGTTGGAGTTGTTGTTTGTTCAAGAAAATTTCGTATAAAAAATGTTGAGTGTTAGTAGCTTTCGGTTTTGAAATTTTTAAAATTTAGCTGTATTGTTTTTGTTTTGTGGGTTTGAGGGGTTATGTTGTTGCTGTTGTTACACTGTACTGTTTATATTATAGAAAATAGCATGCATTCTTTAATAGTTTTAGTTAAATATATATTAATATACATACATACATCTGTACATACATAGTATTTATGTACACCACTACTTACTGTTAGTATTTGTTAAATACGGTAATCTTTGTTTGAGTGCCCACAAAAATCCAAAAATGTTAAATAAGAGTTTTTGTTTTAGAAAATAAAATAAAAAAATTATATTTGTAAATAATAGTACTGTTAAAACCTTTATACGAGCGATACCATGTTTGCAATAAAATTAATCGCTTACTATTTTTTTGTTTCGAGTTAAATTTTTTTAAATTAAGCTTTTGCTTTTGAGGTGTGGATTTTTTTCCGGCAACCAAATTTTTTGCACAAAATACAATTTTCGCTTCAAAATATAAGCAGAATAATTTCCATTCCATTTTTTTGTTTCAAGATTCAAATTTTCTGAAAACATTATTTTAAATGAAAAATATATACCGTAACAAAATTGAACGATTCAGTGCAATTTAACATCTCCAATGGACAAAATTTCATTTTAAATGAAAAATATATACCGTAACAAAATTGAACGATTCAGTGCAATTTAACATCTCCAATGGACAAAATTTCATTTTAAATGAAAAATATATACCGTAACAAAATTGAACGATTCAGTGCAATTTAACATCTCCAATGGACAAAATTTCATTTTAAATGAAAAATATATTGATAAATAGATTAAAAAATAAACTTTTTGTTCTCGTTTTTTAGAAAAAACAAAAAAATTATAATTTTTTTTAAATCAAATTTTAGTGAATTTTTATTTTTATCAAAACCAAATTTTGTTTTCAAGGCTTTGTCTAAAAAAAAGCAAAAATGTAAAATTTTTTCATCCATTCTTAATGGATTTTTGTAAATTTAAATCTTGAGAAAACAAGTCAAGTTGGTTTTTTGAAAATTTTTTCTAAAAAAAATTTAAATTAAATTCAATTTTTTAATAGTTCTTTTTTTCATTCAAAATATGCTTTAGAGGTTACCCACCGTACGAAAATAAATTTAGGTGATTTCTTATTCACATTTAATTTTAAATATTTCAAATATCTTTGAAGCTTTAAAATCGTTATTTGATTAGTTTTTTTATTAGTGGCATCCAATTGAAAAAARTTCTTAAAATAAAAATAATAGTAAATATGAATAACACTATTTTTTTCAAAAAACAAAAAGAATAATAAAAAAAAGCATAACACAATTAAAAACCCATAAAAGCCGATATCACCCTTGTTAACGCCTACCTGGATGTCTGTAATGACACTGTACATCTTCGGGACCATAATGATTACCGTGCAATGGCACTGGTGGGGCCTTCAATTCCTCATACAAGTTAGTACGGCGTGGATCCCAGGTAGAGTGATTTGAGCGTATGCCACGTGCTACTCGAGTACACATAAATGAGCATAACACAGCATGGCATAGCAAAGCATAGCCAATAGATGCGTACAAGTATTGCGTGGCATAAGCCCATGGTTTCAATATAAAGGTATGTTTACAGTGTGTAGTTTACGTTTATTTGTGTAAATGTTTGATTGTTTGTTTGTTGTTTTTGTTGTCATTTTATTTTATATAATAAGTTGTAAAAAAATCGTTATGTAAAACATGTTTCATAAAACATCAAGCGGTTGCAGGAGTAAAAAGCCATATAAATCGGGATTTTGTCGAAGGTTGGGATTAAAAGTAGGCAATTTTCAGAYGATGAACATAAAAATAAACAAAAAAATAAGATTTCTTTGAATTAAAATATTATAAAAGAAATAAAGARAAGGCTAGTCTAATAATTGTGCTAAAGCATTATGAGTGGAACAAACATTTTTCATGAAATATTTCTTTAATTTATTTTTTCTTTCGTTCTATGAATGGTGTTAAACCCGACTAAATATCAGAAATTTAGGTTTGTATAAAAAATATAATTTCAGTATTAGGGACCTTTTCTGTAACTCGATTCAAAAAAACTTTACTCGAATTCGGGTTGTTTAAATTCTGTAATTTTCGGATTTTCAAGCCAATTTTCGAATAAAATATTCGTTAGCTTTTGAGTTGTAGAAAGCAAAAACGAAAATTGTACGTATTTATAGTGGCACAGTGTGGTACAACTATCGCATAGTTATAAAGTAGATCCGAATTTCGAACAGAATACATTTACGAATCGAGATACAGAATAGGGCCCCTGTTACCTAGGAAAGACCTAATTCTAACTCTGGAGGATGGAGCCATGTGTAGTTATTTACGCAAACGAGGAGAGAGAAAAAAAAGAGAGGACGAGATGCGTGAGTATGAAGAGCTTGACAAGCTGGCCGAGAGTAGTAATGCTCGAAAATTCTATGAAAAGATGCAGCGACTAACAGAAGGTTTCAAGACTGGAGCATACTCTTGTAGAACCTCCAGAGATGATCTAGTGACTGRTGCCCAAAGCATACTGGATGGAACACAAACCGAGGTTTCAGACAAGGCGACTACCTATCGTATAACTTCTTCAATCTAATGCTGGAGAAAAAAATTCGAGCTGAAAGGCTGAATCGGGAATACACAATCTTTTATAAGAGTATACAGCTATTGGCATAGGCCGATGATATTGATATCATTGGCCTCAACAACTGCACCGTTAGATCTGCTTTCTCAGATCAGATTGGATAAAGAAACGAAGMAAATGGGTCTGGTAGTGTACGAGTGTAAGATGAAAGATCTCGACGACATTTGGTTTCAACGAAACGGCACCACTTCCCACACATTGCATCAATCAATGKATTTATTGAGAGAACAGTTCGGTGAGCAAATATTTTCAGGTTTTGGRTCGGCCGATTGGTTGCCAAGATCGTGTGATGTCACACTTTTACGATTTTTTCTGTGGGAATATGTAAAGTCTAAARTCTATGCGAACAAGCCCGCTTTCATTCAGGCCTTGAAGCAACCCATCATGATGGTCATACGCCAGTTACTAGTCRAAATGCTCAAATGASACATCGAAAATTGTACTCAACGGATGGATCATCTGAGACGTAGCAGCATTTGAAAGAGATAATCATCGAAAAATTAATGCCAAAGAATATTTTTTCCTATAATAATAATAATAAATATTTTCAATTAAATTTTAAGTTTCTATGTTAAAAAAAAAAAAACTAACTCGAAATGGTTCGCCCTTTATTTTACGAATCCATTAAGTTTATGCAGACCCAAAGTAAGTTTCACATTGCTACGACAATGACTCTCTCGGTTTATTTACTTTCTGTGTACTATACTATATAAGTAGACTGCTTTTTCGTGTATCTTCTAAATTGTCATTACTTTGTGTTATCTTGAAACTTTTACAACCAAAATAGCACTCAAAAGCATAATTGTTAATAGAAATAAAGTATTTTCTTTTTTCAAAATGTTGTTCCACTTATAATAAAGCAAAAGTAACAACTTACGACTATTATCTAAATTTACTACAACATTTATGGAGCATGCAAGAGGTACAAATATTCAGCAAAAGGACATTACGAAATGTTCAAAAAGAAATAAACGCATTTTAAAAATGTAGCTTAAGTTTAAAGTTACACTGCTACACCGTATTACTTCAAAAGTACGTAAAAAGTTAGACAGAAGTAAGAATGAGTCAAAAAATAGCAAAATTCAAGTTTACATTAAGACGTTTCAAATTACATTAACAGTTTTCAATAGAGAAATATATAAATTCATAATATTTTTTATTTTTTAAAGATGTGTATAAGAGACAGCATCTGTACATACATAGTATTTATGTACACCACTACTTACT